CCCCAAAACCCCAAAACCCCAAAACCCCAAAACCCCAATTTGATTAAATAAAGTTGAATTCTTCTTCTAAAGTTTTATCATATCCTTAACACAACTGAGATTGATCTTTCTAAAGGAATTAATCACTATTGCACATATCTAATTCTAGGCAGAACTATCAGTATTCTGATACAAGTCATAAAACTCTTCTCATATTTCATTTTTGTAAGGGAACTGGATCCATTTTGACCTATAAATAAGATTTTTTTAATTTACTTTGAAATTAACTTCTGAACTTTTTCAAGGGAGTTTACGCTTTTCCATATATTCTTTCTTGCCTCAAGGAAGGCTTCTTTGTCTTTATATTCTGGAGTTAGGAGGTCATCTTCTGTATACATCTTCTTTTCGCCTGCTTTATCATCTTTAGTTTCTCTATATAGGGTAAAATTGGGCCTTACTCTTGGTTCTCACCTCCTTCATACTCGTAATTATCTGTATTTGTAGGTCAGAAAATTATAGAAACGTTTTTGGGAAAAATAACATTTTATAGTTGGGTTTACCTCGATGTAAATATTTTGAAGAAAATGGTTTGGATAATTTGTAATCTTGATCATTTTTGTCCAACAATCCGCTCTAAATTATGTGATAAGAAGGATACATTAGTATGCATTCGTCTATGGGTTTCGGTAAATTCAGGCCAATCTTCATCCTCATTCTTTCCAGCGGTATCAGATTCCTTAGGAATTTCACTGACCATGAGGTTATTCATCTTCACTCTTTTTGAAAAGTTCTCTCCTAAATCTTGGGGATTTTCTTGGTCTTCTTCTTCACTCTGATTTGTATTCCACTGACTAAAATTGATAAATGCACCTTACTTGGACACTCCTCTGTTAGAACTTTTCTCTGAAAAAGGAGTTGAGATATCTTTGATCATGATTTCCTATAATTTATCTTAGAAGGAATACTTCTTGGTAATCATCTGACATGCCACTCTCATAATCCTCTTTGTCGCAGTCAACTTCGTACATGCTCTTCTGTTTCATAATTTCGTTGGTGTTAATATCCTAGAAATAAATAATAAGGTACATCTTGGTCCTTGGTCTTGACTTCATCATCGTTATAATTTAGGATCTTTATCAAGAGATTAAAGGATTCATACCTTTGAGTGCTTCTCTTCCTCAACGAGACAGCTCTTGTCAGCATCCTTGTCTGTGAAGATGGACTTTTTCATATTATCCAAGCTGTATGAACTTCCTTGGCACCTTTCCTTCAGCAATTTTTGGATTTTTGGGTTGTTCAAAACAACTATCTCTATAAGTGCTGGGTTTATTAGTCTGTATAGATCAATCTTAGCCTTGCATCGTCTAGAATTAAGAGAAAGGATTACTCATAGTTTTCAGACAAAGCTTCTAAGCTACAAGCTCTAACAATGACATCATTCAGAGTCTCCAACTTTAGTTGCTTGAAGGTTCTCCTTCTAACTTCAGATCTTTGCTGGATGATCTGCTTAGAATAAGGATACTTCCTACATGCCTCCATAAAATCAGATTTTGATATGAACAGAGTTGAGACAGCTTGTTGAACATCATAATGGATAGAATATTCTAAAGGTATATTGTCTATAAGATGGGTCTCACCAAATTGCGACTTCTCTCTAAGTTTAAAATAGCAATATCTGCCAGTATTATTACTTCCGAAAACTTGCCCTTTAAGAATAAAATAAACCCCATTAGGCACGAATCCTTTTGGTAAGATTCATCAATCCTGAGTTGGAGGCATCGAATGCTTGTCTTTCTTATATTTTTCCTGAAAAGGTTCAAAAATCTCAAAGTGTTGATATTTCAATTTCTTAGCTATTTCTCGATTAAAATCGGTCTCAAGTTGATCAAAGAAGCTGCTGAATTCATTATATAGCAAATCGAAAAGGCTATCTCACAGCTCGTTTTGAAGTTTAGGCTTTAGTTGCTTATAAAACTCGCTTTTCTCAATTTCTCCAAAGTCTTTATCCCAACATATGGTGTAAAAATTATTGATATGATTCTAAAATATCAAAGTAATCTTACGAAATAGTCAACATGAAGAATCTTCGCAGATTGGGCTCTTTGTAGTTGGAGTAACCAAAAATTTACTTCGTCAATCTTCTTTTCCTTCAATTGAAAGATAGATTCAGAGCTGACAAAAAGCTCTCCAATATTACCGGTAATGAATCCAAAAATACACACACCAGCGAATTCAATGATGAGTTGGAATATGAGTTCTCCAGAAGTGACGCCTGTAACATCTCCATATCCCACAGTGGAGAATGTTGCTATGATAAAATAGACGCTGCCTATACAAATAAACCTTTGGTACTACCTATATAAACATCTCTGTCGTAATTCTCATCATTCATGTCCAATTCTTGATTAACGACGATCCAGCTGCTCTCTGCTTCACTTTCACCCACATAGATCCAGAATCATGCGAAAAGGTTGATAAGGAACACAAAGAATATCAAGAATTTTATAATCTTTTGTAAATTAACTTGTCTGTTCTTCTTAATTCGGGTGTACTTCACTAAATCTCAGATACACTCTAGGTATTCGTAGAAGTACATAAATTTCAAAAATCGGAATATAACCAAACTCCAGTGAAAGATTGTGAACGGAAACGTTGACAACAGATCAAACCAGAAATTAAACTTAAGGTAATTTATGGCAATCATTTTGTAATCATTCACCCAGTGGTATCCATTGTGATACTTCTCACGGAAATTTAGCCCCATATAGACCATAAAGATCGGGAACAGAAGGATGAAAAGCAACCCTCCAATATTGGATTTAAAGAAATAGTAGATTCAAAAGCATAAGTCCGTTATCGCTGCAAAGCTTGTAAAGTAATCAATAATCCTGGAATTTAATTTTTGCTGAGATACAGCTAAACTATCCCGATAAATAGGAGCTCATGCGATAAATTTCTGCAGCAACAATCTTCTCTTCGCTATATAATTTAAACAAATAATGATCCACTAATTCCTTACAAGTAGCCCAATTTTTCCGCGCTCTTACTGAATTATGAGGACCTTCTTTTTCAGCTTCTTTATTTCCAAAACCTATAGTTATTACCTTAATCCTCTACTCTGTTAGGTTTGAGACTTTTGCGAAGTATTCTTCATCGTCTTCTTCCGAATCTAAACGAGTAAGCAACATCGAGGACTACCTTCGGCATTCTTTTTATTGCTTTTGCAGCATAACTTGCGCTTCACTTTCTGCCATTTTGTTAGCTTAATCTCCTTCTTTCTAATAAGACGAGTTGAAAGCTTTAAGGTGAAGGATTTTTGATAATATAACTTTTTAATGAAGTTCCTTACATTCTTGGAGGTCTTATGGTAGCAGTCCTCCTTAACGTCTGCGTCCGTTTGATAAAGGCCGATATCTTTGAGTCAATAATATGTTTTTCAGTTCTAAACCTGAGAATTTTAATCTCAAAAATTCATTATAGCTTACCTTATTCAAAACTGTGAATTTTCAGGGAAAATACCAAATTTATTTAATTCGTTTTAATTTATTTATTAACTACTGAGGAGATGTAAATCGCATAAACCTGAATATAAATCTGGAAAGTGGTAAATAAGCCAATTACCCTCCTTTTGTAGGCTTTGATGGAGAGCTAGTAGGCAGGATTTTCACCATGTTACTATATATTTATAACTTTATCTACTTTTGAAATTAATAAGGGGTTTTGGGGTTTTGGGGTTTTGGGGTTTTGGGG